ATCCCACAAGCTTTGTGGAGAGTAAGAAAGAGAGAGAGAGAGAGAGAGAGAGGGTGCGAGGGAGAGAGCGAGAAAGAAAGAAAAAGAAAGAAAGAAAGAAAGAAGGAAGGAAGGAAGGAAGGAAGGAAGGAGGGAAGGAAGGAAGGAAGGAAGGGAGCAGTACAATATCAAAGAATAGAAAACAAAATAAAATTAGAAAGATAAAAAATATATTAGGAAAAATAAAACTATAATTGAAACAACCAGTCACTCGGGGTTCCTCCTATCCCCTTTGGTGTCCGTGGTCCCCCACCGGTGCCTGGTAGGTGCCCTGGCTGTGCAGAGACGCGAATTGCACGGCCTCCTAGTACGCCATCTTCTCCTGCTAGTTTTTCACCAAAACACCCTGTCCACTTTCTCCCTACAGCCAAAGCACATTCCCCGGCCTCTCTGGAAGTCGCACAACCCAGCTGGATGCAGGGAGAGGATGCAGCCCTACGCACAGGCTTGGCCCCACCGGCACGAGCCCCCGGCCACCGGAACACCAAGAGAGAGGGCGCTTAGTGGAAAGCACCTGGCCACCTGAGCTGCTGCCCAGTAGGGTTCACCTGACCAGCAGCACTGGGCTGGAGTGTGGTGAAAAGCAGGAAACAAACTTCTAGTGTGTCAGGCACTGAAACGTGAGATTATGTGCAAAAGCCTCTGTCCAGACGCACCCAGAACCCGGTATGCAGGTGGTCCACGGTGACGGAGCATCTGGTTAAACTCCACTTTGTAATGACCTGGAAGGCAGACCCCTCTCTCTGATCCTGTAGCCCTCAAGGAAATGATGGGAAAGAACCAGCATTGGTAGCCCACACTTAAAGTTGGCTCAAGCAAGCAAAAACGAGTGGAAACAGAAAGTATCCAGGAGCCTGGGGGCTTCAGGGAGGCAAACTGGAATGGGTTGCCCCCCAAAGCTCCAAAGAGACCAGGGACCATCTAGACTCAGCCTTCCCGGGAAGGTCTGGTCAAGGATGGTTACCTTCTCACTCAAGCCTTTAGTTCCACATAACCTCCAGGTCTCAGCCATTCAGTTTCAAGAGAGACAAGAGAGCAAGTAGGCACAAAGAAAAGAATAAGTCGGGCTTGAACAGCACACCCGGCGGGACTGAGGTAGAGCTGCCGGCTGGCAGGCGGAGCTGACAGGACGAACACAGCCAGGAGCCCACGTGCTCCTGGGAGAGCCAGGAGGCCAGAGGAAGGGCACAGCAGGCACGACGGCTGACTGCTTAGGACTGAGCGTCTCCGGGCCCCCGTCTTCACGGCTGCAGGAGGGGGACCATGGCAGCCCCCTCCTCACAGACCACTTTACACGAGGCCATGGAGGGGAAGGTCTGTGGGGAGGACCAAAGGCTTCAGAAAACAGCCGTCCGGTCCCCAGGCAGCAGAGTCAGGGTCCACTTGGGAAACTCCTCCAACACCCACTCCACCTGATTTCAGCACTGCTATGGACCTGTCTCCCTTAGGAAGGGGAGGGTCTCTGGAGGGGGAGCAGTTCATGGGTCACTGGACCATGAGAAACCACGTCCGGGCCTGACGGGGAGAGCAGTGCATGCTGGGAATCCTCTGTGTCCCGCTGGATGCCCTGCCCAGGTTGTGCCCCAGGGAGGTGGGTTCTGCTTGTGGGCTCAGAGCCGAAGCGGACTTCTGGCTTTAGTCAGATAACGGAGGCTGCCCCTGTTCCCCAAGCCATTCCCTTCCTTTCTGGAAAGTACAAGACCCAGCTTCCTTGGAGCTAAGTGCCACCACGTGCTTGAGTTCTGGCCAAGGCAGCAGGAGCAGGGAGTATGTGGGATAAGCAATGTAGGCCACTTACAAGCCCAACCCAGAAAACCCTCCCACCTGACTCTCTTCCCTCCCCCCACCCCCTGGCTAGATGGAGAGGCCTTGGAGGGCCTACTGAGGAGGGAACCACCAGGTGGAGAGATGCTGAGGAGTGGCATCCGGCCTGAACAGCCACAAGGACCCTGCGGGCAGGAAGCATGCTATTATCTGTCAGGGTCCTTTGCTTCTGCACTAGTCTACCCACACCGATAGAAATCTTTTAACCTTTTTCATGTACAAAAGCAATACAATGCAAAATATTTAAACAATGCAAAAATAATAGAGTTGGCCTTTCCCTCCCTACCTCCCCTCCTTGCTGTGTCTTCCCCGGGGGGGAAAATCAATGTAAGAGTCCAGTATGCGCATCACAGGAACAAGTCTGAGAGGACACACTACAGTTAGTTTCTAATAAGGTTCTCGTGTATCTCAGGCTACAGAAGCACCTTAGGAAAATCTGGAGACAGTGGCTGCTAGAGAGACCATTGTTTTAAAGTTAAGTCAGTAAATCCCAGACAGCTAGAGGCTGTATATTCAAGACCCTTTCACTGATACAGCAGAGCATGTAAATTGCACACAATTAGAAAATCCAGACTAGAAAAAAAAACAAGGGGCACCACTGTTAAAACCTTGCGCATCTCCTTCTGTTTTTTTTTTCCTTTGTATAAATGTGTATATGTGTATTTTTTAGAAAGAGAAAACTACTCCCTTTTGAGTAAAAAAGATCATAATCTTTCTCTTTTAGCAGCTAAGCCAGCCAGAGATGTGCCAATTTATTCTTGAGTTAGGAAAACACAGTATGGTAGTCAGACAGCAGGTTGAGTGCCCACAGGCACCATAATTAAAGTACCCTTAATGGCTTACTTTGTAGCAAAAGAAAATATAAAGTTCTCCACATTCGCCAGAACCAGAGACAGATTCTAATTCTAGCTCCTCTGGGGACAGAACTAGTATAAAAATGGAGCAATGGCTGATCACGGAGGTATGGGAACACTACCAAATTATACTCAGGCATTCCCGTGACTTTAAGTCCTTTCCTAAGTCATTAAACACTTTAAAAGGTATTACTACTCTTTATATTTAGCTGCTTTAATTTAAAAAAAACTGATATACTCTTTCTGTTGGTCAGGCTGAGTAAAGCCTGATTTTACAAACCTGTGGTTCTTGAAACACAAATTTTGTACTTCTGTGCCACGTGAATGAAGAAAGTTGTCTGCCATATCAGTAAACACAGGATGTTGCAGCCATCAAACCATCACATTACAGCATCCCAACGGTGCACCCTGAGGGGACTCAGGATGAGAAAACACAGGACACTGGCCCCAGGTAGCTGAAGTGCATATCAAAGGAATGATTTCCGTGAGCCCAGACTCTTGCATATTCCCATACATAGAAAAGCACTAAATTCCTTAACTTGAGATACCTGGTTTTCTTTAATTAACAGTAATCTTTTGATGTTCCGACTACCTGGTCTTTGTTACAAAACTTCCTACATATCCTGGCTTCCCCTTTGCCTCTTCGCAGCCGTCCCTCAGAGCTATCTGAGAGTCCTGTCTCCTGAGCTTGAAGTCCTCAGAATGTCCACCGAGTAAAACATAACTCTCAGCTTTTACGTTGTGCATTTTTTTCAGTCCACACCACCATGACTCGTTAGGCAAGCACAAATCATTGACTACCAATAGCAGTAATGATGCTAAAGTTTTAAAGTAAATCTTTTCCAATGATTTAAAACATATCCACATGTATCTCTATAACCTACACACTCCCTTGTATTCCAGTCTGATATGCTTTCTTGACAGGAAAATGTTAAACTTGGAACAGCCCCGGTTCAGCGGGTGTCACAGGTAACCAGGTACTTCTTGCAGGAGGAAGTGTTGAGGTCCACTAGTGCCATCTCATCATCAACCCAAACCAGTAACTACCCACCTGCATACAATTTCTCCTAACTTCAGGCAAATCAACGCCCCCAAAATAATCAGCCTTAAGTCTGTCATGTCTCTTTTACATGCCCAAAGGTGACAGCAAATGTAACTATTCAATGTGGCAACAGACATATTCTTTCACCCAACACATGACAATCTCCTTAGCAACAGGACCAACCCACATCTTGTAGCTACTTAGCAGAGTTCAGGTTCTGTAGAAAGGAGCACAAGGGTCACTGCCCGTTTTTAATATTTACACTCCACCTGTTTCCACAAAAGTGATTCATTAAGTTCTAAAATGAAACACAGGAATTGGAATCAACACGAAAGTGTGATACTAAAATGCACATAATCTTTCTTGGGAGACTCTTTTCCAATGGCCAACAGGCGTCCATTAACACCATATTCCAAATTAACAAAATAAATCCTGAATATAAATACAGCTTCAGTCTGAAGCCTCTCTTAGGAGCATTTCGAGAAGTAACACAGTTAAGAGAAAGAGAGAACAGGTAACAGGCGCCCGGACAACGGTCCCTCGGGCGAACCTGTTTCTCACCTGGTTACCCTCTGGGACCTGACGCTGAACTCACCAAGTGGACGCGCAATCCAGGCGAGCACCCTGCGGCGTAGGGCCAGCGCCCCGCCCCCGTCGCCCTGGTTACGAGCCCCCGCAGCTCGGCGCCCTCATCACCTCTCCATCCTCGCGAGAACCCGGGGTCTACGCACTACCCCCATTTCCGGACTTGCCTCACTTCCGGGCGCCGGCCAACTACCGGTTTTCCTCACTTCCGAGCGCCGTGCCACCTCCGGACGCCTTATTTCCGGGCGCGCCTCACTTCCGGCTCCTCCGGCTTGGCCCCCCTAGCCCTCATGCTCCCGGCGCGGCGCCTGCGGGTAGCGGTGGTGAGTCCAGGGGCGGATACCGGACCTGCCGCCCGCGTCCACCCCGGCGGAGCCCTGGGCCCCGAGCCGCCTTCCGCCCGACCCCGCGCCCGGTGGGTCCCCGGCCCACTCCCCTTCTCTGCCCCTCCCGCCCCGCCTTCGCGCGCGTCCTCCTCTCCGCGGGTCCCCTCCCCGGGCCGGGGACGGGGCGGGGGCAGCGCGGGGCGGGCCGCCGAGGTGGCCGGGACCCGCCCGCAGTCTGCGGCTCCGGATGCGCTCAGCTTGTCTTCCCGCTGTCGTGTGTCTGCAGGACAAGTCACAGATGAGGAAGGCACCGCACTAGGCGCCCCAGTCATGGCAGCTCCGTGGAAGGGCGCTCTGCTGCTGCTTTTGGCATCTCAGGCTGTCTCCTCGTTGAACGCCTCTGACGAGGAGGAAGTTCCAGAAGAATGGATTCTTCTGCACGTTGTTCAGGGTCAGATAGGAGCTGGGAATTACAGCTATTTGAGGTTAAATCATGAGGGAAAGATAGTTCTTAAGATGCAGAGTTTGAAAGGTGATGCAGACCTGTATGTATCCGATAGCACCCTGCACCCGAGCTTTGATGACTACGAGTTACAGTCTGTCACTTGTGGCCAGGACGTGGTTTTCATACCAGCGCACTTCCAGCGCCCCGTGGGAATAGGGATTTACGGACATCCATCTCACCACGAGAGTGAATTTGAAATGAAAGTGTATTATGATACAACGATTGAACAGCACCCGTTTGGTGAGACTGCTTATTCAGACGGTACAGATACGAGTCGGAAGCAGGCTTATGCTCCAGAAGATGCATCTCAAGAAGAGGAATCTGTTCTTTGGACGATATTAATTAGTATTTTGAAATTGGTACTTGAAATTCTTTTCTGATTCTTTGAACATACTGTGGAGTATAATACCCTTAACCTGTGAAGCTGAGTGCAGTTCGCTGTGAACCTAGCTACTTGTACCTGGTTGGAATTCTGGTTACCTTTCCTAGCTGGGGGATGGGAAAATAAAGCCATACAGTTTTGTTACCTCAGTCACCCCAGAAGTATGAAAAGCATCAAGCACGATATTTATTTTCTTTCTAAACATCAAAATTCCTGTAAAAGAAATGTGCATAATAAAATGTTTAAACCCCGTTTTGATTAGTTTGTCAGGTGACTAAGATGATTGCAGTGACTTATGAAGTTACAAAGTGTCAGCGTTGAAGAGGCAAGTCTGAAATGTAATGATTTCTCCACACTTGCCTGAGCATGGACTAAAGTCCCATGCCTACACCCCAAGCAGGGACAGCACCTCCTGTCCAAATGGGATTTCCTGGTAGGCAGGTCCCAGTTAGACAGTTCTAAACCCAGCTGCACCAAATCCCATCAGGTCATTTGTAATTTTATCATTTTGGGCTCCTATTAAAAGTCTTCCGTTATTAAATAACTTTGCTATGCTAGCCATGGTAGACAAGAAAGGATATAATTAGGAAAATTTCATGAAAATAATAGTAACTTTTAGGCTAACGGAATAATAAAGTATTTCAAATTAAGCTGCATGATATTACCACTGAATTTCTGGAAAGAGACAGAATACTAGATAAAGACCTTTTGGAAGATGGAACTATTCTTCTACCTGAAATTGGTTTCAAGGGTAAGAGTAGCTTATAACAAAATGAATGAACTTGCAGATTTTAAGCACATAGTTTCAGAAATCTTTTATTGGCATAAAAATGAGAATGTTGTAAAATGGCACCAAATACTTCATTTAAATGCACATTACAGTATTGGGGTCAAAAACTATCCCTCTTTGCTGCTTTTCCCCCTTCTGCCCACTTTCCTGGGTGTTGGGGGGGCTTGCTGACAACAGTCACAAATCCAGCAACCTAGGAGAAAAATTGTTAGTTAATACAGGATGAAATTTAACTTTTTAGGACTGAATTTTAAACCCCGTTAGCTCTCCTTCCTTAGCAATGGCTATTGATAATCCTCACTGGATTTCTGGTGGGACGGGCACTAATGAGTTCCTTAATTTAAGGAGAAAAATGCAAACTTCCCTTAAGGTAATCAGTGTCATCAATGCCCTGTGAAATGCACGGGGGGAGGGAAGGGGCCATGGGAGGAACTAAATAATGGTAGGGACCTTTAAACAGTTAAAATCCTTTCTGAAATTCAAACACTATCATACTCTAAGAGTTCAAGCATACAAATCCCAATATAAAACCTGTTATTGACTTTCGTTTATTTTCAGTCTTCTGTGCTGCTCAGCGGCAGCTGTGCGCTCCTGGCATCCTCTCAAGTGCTGGTGTGCTGTGCTCACACAGCACTGTAAAGTGTGTCAAGTATCTGACGGCATTATGATGAGCTCTACAACATACTTGGTCTCAATCACTGAACAACTCTGAATAATTAAGTTGCTTGCATCTCAACAAGTCCCAGGAAACCTAGGCACATGTTTTATAAAGTATGAGACAGTGTCACCCACGCAAATAAGTTCTAAAGTTACACAATTATGCGTGTAATGTTTTAGTCCGATTACTGTGATTTATTCTTTGATTCTGCGTTCATTCTGAAGTTATCTGGAATTGTTATGCCGCCTCAGTTTACAAAACTCTGGTTTAATATGTATAAAGGCATAGCAGTCGTTTTGTTAAGTTTCTAAGTGACTTATAAAATCAAGGCTTTGAAACAAATTGATGCTACTCCTTTAGCTATTTCAGTAGAACACTAGCTCAATCTACATACACTGAGCTCTGCTTCCAAAATTTATAGGCAGTCTGATATCTCACTTGTCCTTTAGTCAGCTTGTCTAAGGATGAAAAACAGGTGGACGTGATCACAGCTTTGGTCACTTCTTGTGAATAAAAAGATCTCCAGGCCCTTCATGTGACTATGGTGTTTATGCAGCCTCAAAAAAAAAAAAAAAAAAAAAAAAAATGCTGGAAGAGTCCCTTCACTCAAAGATAACATTCCTTCTTTTTTAATCTTTACCTGATGGAATAGCACCAAGGCCCACACAAAAAGTATGATAACCTCTGTCACACACATCACAGAACATCATTTCTTCTTCATGGTGGGGTTGTCCACATATAATGCAAGTCTTACACTCCATACACTGCCATGGGTAGGTCTTAATCATAGAAACAAGCTCCATGGTCATATCCAGGCAAGAAGGATGGCCTAAACCAAAACCAGTATTAGTTGTATTTCACACAAGAATTTTTAACTTAATATGGCATCATAAAATGCTAGTTTGCTTGGACGTCTCAAGAATGGCTACAATGTTTAACTGCCAAAGAGGAATGAAAACACAAAGTCGAAAAAAATACACGGACTTTATATATTTGATGATTCTTTGGTTCAAGTCTAGCTGACAACTAAGAATCCTAGTTTTCGAAGCAACAAATAGGGTGGTTAAAATGTGAAGACATGTCAATACTTACCACTGTTATCACACTGGGAGCAGTGTATAAGTGATTCAGCCTTCCCTTTCTTGTTGGACTCCTTACCCTTCAGACAAATTCCACATAGAGCATTTGGAATGACCTTTGGCTGGAAGGGTAGAAGAGGGCTATAAATTCATGCCAGAAGAACTTACTATGGGTTCAAAAGGAATCATCACTGTATTGCCTTATCTTTACTCTGGTTAACTTGCTAATGAGGACCTTTTTGAAGGACATAACCTGACATGAATCTGCCTTCAACATACAACAGCCTACCGACTAAAAGCCTTAGATTTCATTTTTAAATTTTGTCAATGGCATGATCTCATGTTAGGATTAGATATAGCATTCTACACTCCCTATATGCCCAGTAAGATCTATATAATGAACTGGAAGGGGAGACTAATACATTGTCAAACTGCACTATTAACTGAAAGAGAAAAATCCAAGTACTGAGTGACCATTACACGAAAGTTTTAGGCTTGTTCCCAAAGAGAAGACTCCATTGTAAGCAGCTTATATGCTCATTTTGTTTAAAAAACCTGATATTCTCCAAAGTTGCGAAACTAGATCTATAAAATCTAAGTTACAAAATCAATGTTTTAACATTTTGAATTGCAAGATGTCTCAGCATACAGTCATGCGCAAAAAAGGTTTGTGGGAATCCGAGTTGTGTGATTATTCCCTTTGCATATCTAATACATTAATAAAAGAGCCTATATTTAAGAGAAAAAGCATTCACTATGACATACAAAACATGAAAGAGAAAAGTAGTTCTCAGACAGGCAAAATATGAAATTATCACTTAAAACTATGCAGACACCCTATGTTTTAAGTACCATTCATTTTTCAGATTAAAAATAGGCACTATCCAATGAAGGCATCTGGGCTTTAAGAAAACATTTGGCAACACATGGAAAAGAACAAAGAAGGTTCACTACGCCTGAAATTGGGAGGGGAAAGGGGACAGCCTTGACCGTAGCAACATGATATTCACTGGCTCCACATGAACATGGGGCAGTGGTAGGAAAGGAGAGCAAGCCGGGGCCAGGCAGGAAATGGGGGCCGGGGGCATGTTCACTCACTCATTCACTCATTCATTCATTCATTTATATAAAAACTGGGAGAAAAGGCATTTTAAATAGAAATATTGCATTTCTGTTTCATACAACCCAGCCAAATGCATCTTATGTTTCCCTTTCCTAAGTTACTGAACAAAAGAGGAGCCTAAACAAAATTCCAACTTTGCATACTGTATTATTCCAGCTTTGAAATGTCTCACTGCCACCTTCAAAACCTGCACAGCCTAATTTGTTCTTAATTCTTTAGGGTTTTTTTAATTTTTTAAATTATCTTTCTCTACAAAAGATGACAGAGGCATTCAAAAATAATTTTTGGCTTATTTATTTAAAAAAAAAGTCAACCTTATACATAAATATAATAACTCTAAACAATCACAAATGTCTCTACAAAATAATAAATATCATGGAAGTTAAAACATACATATAAAACTTTACTGTTGACTATTCTACATCTCCTGTATATCTTTATACCCTGCTCCCCAACAAAAGGATAGTGTCACATGCTCAAACCTCTTAAGTCTTGCAGTGTAGTTACCCTCTGTTGTTACTGCTACATTCTAAGCATAAAAGGTTCTCATTGTGTTTTCTTATACCTAAATAAAAAATAGCTAGGAAGTGCACTTCTATGATCCAAATTCTGGTTCAGTTATGATCAAATCTGTAACTGCCATAATATACAGCAGAAAGCTACCTCTCAATCCACCAAAAAAAGAAATATCTTTTGGTTATGGTACCTGCACTAAATGTAAAAGATACACTTATTTAATACTTATAGTTCAAGTTAGATACTGGCATCCTAAGTACTTTAATATTTTTCAGTAAAGTCAAGGAAGTAACCACACAGTATTAAAATCTAAATCAAGAACTCCTCATAGGAGATCCTTTACAAGAAATCAAAAGGAATAAAACACAAAGCTAGTCATTCACATTCTAGAGCAGTTCAAGTTCTACAATCATTAAAATATACATTGAACACCTATGATAAAAGGGATACCAAGAAAATTCTAGGTTTACTTCTAAGCTTAAAATCATAATGTTTTGTTAAACCACTTAAAATTTTTCTTACCCAATAGTCTTCATCTTGATGAAAAGAGGGAGAGACGGGTGGAGAGGGAGGGAGAGAGACAGAGAGAAAGACAGAGCTTTGCAGCATTTTCTATGATGATGCCACAGCTCAATATGAAAAAATACTTTGTTCCCTCAAGCACTCTTGAGCTCTCTCAGAAGCCACACTGCTCACATCGAGGACTGTACACGTCGGGTACCAATCGCTGATTGGGAAGCTCATCTCTCGGGCTTTGCAGTGGTGATGGAGGAAAGGAACAGCGTATGGAACTCTCTGAAGGTTAATGAACGGAACCCTCCATACATGTCTGATGGAGACAGTCCTACTTCGTAACAGCACAACATCAAAATTTCACTACTGACAAGAAAATTAAAATAATCTCCCTAAGAGTTCTCAGCATCTCAAATAAAAGGCTCACAATACATTTATTTTCCTGCTTGAAAAACAACCAAAGATAGTGAGGCTTTCATGTTAGCATTAATATAGTATACATTTTAATTATATACTTTTAACATAGGCCTGAATCCTAATAATTATGCTTCAATTTCAGGTTAATGTAACCTAAACAATACTGTCCTACAAACTTAAGGGCAAGCACTAGTGAATCTTATTAACCAAGACATCAAATACATTATAATTTTTCTTATTAACTCCCATATTTTAAAACATATTTATATATATGACCTTCAGCTTAAAGTACCCTAATATTTAGGCACATCTTGGCTTATTAATACTTTTCATAGAGAGGTTAACTTTTAATAAACATGTTCGCATTAATGTATTGTCTAGATACTGGTTGTTCCAAACTTTGAAATAACTGAAACATTTTTAGGTACTAAAAATATTCACAGGGCTTCCCTGGTGGCGCAGTGGTTGAGAGTCCGCCTGCCGATGCGGGGGACGCGGGTTCGTGCCCCGGTCCGGGAGGATCCCACGTGCCACGGAGCGGCTGGGCCCATGGGCCATGGCCGCTGGGCCTGCGCGTCCGGAGCCTGTGCTCCGCAGCGGGGGAGGCCGCGGCAGTGAGGGGCCCGCGTACCGCAAAAAAAAAAAAAAATTCACAGATTATAAAATGTGCATATTCTGCGTATCAGACCCCCTTGAGTACTACCAATTTAGGTTAATCAATTGATTTCTTCTACCTTAAATCAATGATAGCATTGAATAGTTCTCATTTTCAGCCTCTAAACATCTGTTTCAGTATTTTTTCTTTTTTAACCCATGATTAATCCAGGCTTACTTTCTGAAAGGTCTATGTAACACTGACAGTGTGCTTTGAGCTGCAACTCCCATTCCGAGCTCTTCTAGGACCAGAAGCACACTGATTAGCACACACAGCAGGCTAACTTTCCAAAATTTAATCTCTGGAGTTCATTTGCTTTCAATTATTAAGCATTAATTTAAATCTTCAGTTTAAAAAAATTAGATAATCTATGTATGTAAAACAAGGACAAAAATCACATGGCTGCAGCCTAGTGCCGCCGTCCTTGCTGAATGAAGCTGGGCTGAAAAAATATATACTTGAAAGCTGATGACGTAAAGGCATTTTCTAATTAAATATGGAATATGCTAATTTGTTAAGTTGCTTTTTTACTTCAGGAAAAGAAAGGCAATGGACTGTTAGAAGGGCTCTGCTTAGGCTGAAGGGACACTGGCCAGCGCCCACTTGAACCCGTGCTTCTGGATTACACACCACAACCCTGACCTGACAAACACAAGTGTTCAGCAACTCCGCTCAGCAAAACTTTCTGATCAACTTACTCTAAAATGCTCCTTCAAGACACCTTCATAAGCACATAACAAGCATTTACATACTGACACATACCAGGAAGCTGTGTATTTTCCTGTCGCGGTTCAAGACACGAAACCTGCAGCTATTTCTACTCCTTCCATGATAGTTAAATACACGAATAAGGCTACTCCTCTCTCGCCCGGCCCTCTGCGGGGGAAGGGGCAGACGGCAGGAGGAAATGATAAAAGTAACCCTACTGCTGACAGCACGCTACCTGACTCTGAGAATAACCGGATGAAAAAGTTAACAAGTGCATCTAAGCCAAATCACCTGCCAGATAATGTGTAAATCCTTGTCACAGAACTGCACAGGCTACCTGCCAAGGTTCGGCTGAAAGCCACCACAATGGTGTAGTAGACCAGTTTTACTTTCTCCACCAGAGGGTTAGCTCAACGTGGCCAGTGAGTGGACCCAAGAGTTCCTAGACTGAACCCAGATGGCTCTTAGTGAAAGGCACTGCAGAAATGCAGCCTGGCCTAAGGGGCTCCCTCCCCACTGCATGGCTCAGCGGGCCCAGCTTCACCAATACCAGGGCGCTTTCAGCGTCAGACCATGATGCGTTTTACTCTGAGGAAACAAGTATAAAGTTCTGCCTATCAGATCCACTCCTTAAAAACCCATACTTGCCTGGTTATTATTTAAAAGGACAAAAAAAGATTCTCTTATCAATTGTACATATACAGAAAACAGAAGCTAAACCATAGCCAAAGTGATAGAAAAGCCACCAGGAAAATAAAGCAAAAAGGAAGGGAGGCTGACAGAGGGCACACACCACAGAAGAACAGCTAGTGAAGTGCAGCAGGCAGGAGCTCCACAACTTTGAGATTCAAAGTTAAAATATTTCAGGGAGAGAGGCTGGTCAGGAAGGAAGCTGAGTCAGGGGCTTTTTTCTTCTACCTTGTACCCAGGAACTGACTTGGACAGTACAGAACGTTTGGAAGCATCTTTTCGTGGAGGAGCAGCCTTGTCCCTGGACCTCTGTCTTCCCTGCAGAGGCTCCTCCTGGCCTTCAGGAAGGCCTTCTCCCTCAGACACGTTGCCAGAGGAGCTGTCCTGCAAGCCAAAGGCACAAACAGAGGTTCCTTGGAACTCATGCAGATTCGAAAACTACAGAATATATCCAAGAGAAGTTTTAAAGTTCCATCAATTCAAAAATAAAAAGATAATTCTAATCTAAGAAAACATTTTCCAGTGTGAGACTGAAAGAAGTCATGGTAAGAATCATTTATCCATCTTATAAATACATTATAGCTAGTTCCATTTATATCAGCAAGTACCTTAATCGACTTTGTTTTCTGACCTAAGTCAACGGTAACAGAATCATCTACTTCAGCTATTATTACACGACACAGCTTCCACACCATTTTACCACGTCACAAGGGAGCATATTTGTTTCACACAAAAATATTCTTCAATAAAGAAACTACTTTAAGCAAGTGTGGGTATTTTTACTGAGTAATAAAGGTTATTAAAGAAGTTCTTCAAGCCCACACCTGTAACTTCCTAATGTTAAACAAGGCAGAGGGCCAATATCGTCAAGTATTTACAACAGTATCAGACATATTGTACATGTTCAAAGTTTAGGAGTTCAATAATCACTTAATTCTTCATTTTTTAATTTAAAATTTTCTAATTAGAATAAAAATGTTACGTTCATATAAATTATGAAGATTATAAAAGAAAAGATCAGGTTATCCATAACCACCCTGGTAAACATCCTGAGACAACGCCTGGGAACGTGATGTATCTCTTTTCTAGTTACGTGTTTGTACAGATACCCAGGTTCACACACTAACACATACACAACCTACCTACATGTGTGCCCTCATTTTTTAAAACACAAACACGAAGCTGAATTACATTGTATGTGTGTGTGCATCTGCGTTTTAATATTTTTAAGTGTTATGTGCATTTCATCACATCATTAAATATTCTTTGAGCTGCATCTCTACCACGTAAATGTAATATATAACCCACTGTGGACATGATATTTCTAATTTCTGCTATAGAAAATAACACTCCAATGGACATTTTTTCCTAATTAAATTTTGTTACCATCTGATCAGGTTCTTCGGATAAATTCTATTAGTGTATTTGCCAAGTCAAATTCCATGGAAGTTAAAAATCTTGGTACAGACTGTGAAAACACTTTCCCAAAAAGCTGTATTAACCGACACTCCCACTAGCAGTGTAGGAGAGTGTCAACTTCATCACACCCTCGTCACAACACAGCACCCCTGTACCAACGTGACGGAAGAAAAGCAGTGTCGTCACTTTAGTATCTGAAGAGCATCTTACTTTAATGTGACATGTATTACTAAATATGTTTTAGAAGCTGTTAGTGACAAAGTGTAGTGCCCATTAATGCTAACACAACCCCACGTTCAGGTTGGCTAGAAAGATATAAAACGGCCAGCTGCTTAATATGCCATGCTAAATAAAAATCAAACCCCTGACTACTGTCTTCTTTGTTCTCCTTCAGTTCCACAGAGCACACCAACTTCCCAACTGTCCCGCAATTGCATTTTGCTACAAAAAAAAAAGTCATGCAGGAAAACCTAACTAACAGCACATGTTGGTAACCTTAACGTTATCCTAGAAGAGGCCGAAGACTATTAATTAAGCAACAGGAACACAAGTTAATGTGCTCCCCCTAACCCAACATGGTTAAGCATAAGATTGTAAACCAATGTCTAGTACCCTGCCTAACCTGCTCGTGAAAACCACAAAGGGGCAACTTTAAGGATAAAACTTACCAAAGGCCACACACAGATAGTCCATATCAACACAAGCAATAACTTTTCCTGATGGATGCTTTTGGAACTTATATGCAACTGTCCTTTTTCAAAAAGAGGGTAGTGATACAAGTTCAATTTAACACTCCAGGAAAGCTATCAGCAAAAATTCAAAGGAAAAGGAGACACCTCCTACTGAAGATAAACGTCCTCACCGAAGTGCCTTTATTTTTCCGTTTCTCATCACCTCGACCATCTTCGGCATCATCTGAATCACCATCGCTATCGAGAGCAGGGAGCTCAGGATCCAGGGGGGGCTCATAAAGCGCTGTGTTTAATGGCAAATACCGCAGTTCATCTGGTGAGTACCTATAGTTCAGAGAGAGGATTTTCAGTTTTCCTTTTTTTTTTTTTTGGTGTGCCGCATGGCTTGCGGGATCTTAGTTCCCCAACCAGGGATAGAACTGGTTCCATCCCGTGCCCGTGCCCGTGCCCCCTGCAGTGGGAGCTCGGAGTCTTAACCACTGGACTGCCAGGGAAGTCCCCAGTTTTCCTTTATTGTTAAATATATATGGACTAATTTTGAACTACGATAATAGCCTTAATATTAACCACAAATACTTTTGAAAAATGATTAGAAGCAATAAATAATTTTTTCATTTTGGTACTCAAACAGGGACAAGGAATAAAAAAAGCCTAAACATTTTTTCACCAGTCTAAGAGTATAAAATATATATTTGATTCTTGTTATCAAAAGATTATGTCTCTCTCCTTTACCCTCAACACCCTCCCCCTGCAAAAAACGTCAGCAGACAGGGACGAAACTGTGGCAATACAGAATCCTGCCTGAGCACCTCCACCCTCCCACTTTCCTGAGTCCTTACTGCCTGTGCGCTGCTGCTGCTTCACCTGTAAAGCAGGTATGGTAACAAGTCCACCTCACAGAGTGAACGTGAGCATCAAATAAATTAACACAGGTAAGTCACAGTGGTGCACGGTACAAGATACTATTTAAGAAACAAAATTTCCAGCAACAAATTATTTTAAACCAATTTGTGAAGCATGTATTCTAACAAATGTAATCATCTCTTTTATCTGAAACTAGGGATCGGCAACCCCTTCCCCAGGTCAGTCAGCACACGGCCCGCAGATGACGTCCGAGCCGTTCCCACAGGATCGCACCAGGCGGCTATGATCTCGGAACCTCAGTAGGGAGAGGACACTGGATCAGGATCCCACTCACCTAAGATGTCACACCAAAAAGCACAGGGGTTGGGACACAGGCCTATCACTCAATAATGTGCTTTGCCCAAAGTGAGAAAATGAAAATTTGCTGACCCATGATTTAAGTTTGACTTTCAAATAGTGTGATTGTATAGTCTATTTTATTTTTTTAATTTTATTTATTTATTTATTTTGGCTGTGTCGGGTCTTCGTTGCTGCACATGGGCTATCTCTAGTTGTGGCGAGCGGGGGCTATTCTTCGTTGAGGTGCGGGGGCTTCTCATTGCTGTGGCTTCTCTTGTCATGGAGCATGGGCTCTAGGCACATGGGCTTCAATAGTTGTAGCACGCGGGCTCAGTAGTTGTAGCACGCAGGCTCAGTAGTTGTGGTTCTTGGGCTCTACAGTGCAGGCTCAGTAGTTGTGGCGCATGGGCTTAGCTGCTCCAGGAGCCTGTGCTCCGCGACGGGAGAGGCCACAACAGTGAGAGGCCCACGTAACGCAAAAAAAATAATAATAAAAATAAATAAATAAATAATACTGTCTAAAGAATATTCTCTATCCTAGAAAGCATAAGGTTTTTTATGAAGTAAAAGCTCAGATTTTGACACAAGTGACGCTGTGGGGCCTGTTTTCAGTTATATCCAGGTTGGAAAGGAGAGACAAGCAGCATTCTTGCTACAGGAACAGAAGCAGTGGCCAGGCCAGGGTAGCAGGAGCTCCCAGGTGGCCATGCCTCCCCACAGCCACTCTGTGCCTTCCTTCACGCCCTCTGCATCTGTGAAAATGCAGACGCCCAGGCAGAAGGTCTGGGGGCGTGCTTGAGAGTCTGCATTTCCAATAAGCTTCCACATGACACCAGCGATGCTGGGCCATGGACCATACTTTAAGGATGGAGGTCTGGAGAACCCCTGGCACCTGTCAACAGAAACACAAACAGGTGGGCAGTGAGATGGCACCCCAGGCTTTGTCAGCAGATGTTCAAGTTCTGTAAAGAGCATTCTTCACCACAGAAGATAGAAAAGAGTGACACAAATCTTATACATCTTATGGTGATGCTTATAGAGCTAAAAACTTCTAGAAGACAAACACAAGGCTTTGAAGTCCCTCACCAACACTGATGTTAATGGTAAAAAAACAAAAAACAAAAAAAACACTAAGTACCTTTTGTAATATTCCTGGAACTGTCCAGGGATGAGGGCCACCGGGTAAGAACTGACCTTGGTTCTCTCTGTCGGCAACACTTTGTACTTCCCTTGAGGCACCTGGATAACCTGGTTTAACACAAAGAGAAAGACAAACCCGACTCCATGCAAAGAATCAAGTCTTTAGGAAAACAGCCCCCTCTTGCTCTCTACCGTGTTTCTCCCCCCAGAAGCTAAAAATATAAGAGACATTAGGAGCTATGACCTAAGGGGGTTGGTATTCCTAGTTCTAGTGAGTTCGTCTGGCTGTTTACCGTGGCCATCATTTCTGAGGAAAGACAGTGTGTCTGCTCACCACTTAAGGGCTACTTATAAAACCTCTGGAGCTCAACGTCCTCATCTATGAAACGGAAATAGTAAGTTTTAACCTCATGTGGTAAGGGTGAGAAGTATGTGAACTACTATGGAAATCTCTTATACCTGCCCCTGGGACACACAAGGATGCCATGGAGCTACTAGACTCCTTCAGTAGCATGCCAACCAAAAAGCAAGAGACATATCACACACACGCAGAGAAGTGAAGCAAACAGTATCAGGCACATTAAAAACGACAGCTTCGGTTCTGGGGAAGAAAAGGACATACTGCTGGTACAAAACATTACGGTAAAGGTGTTCAGTAGCCTACGATAACAAGCAATTAGCGAGGTTCAGGGATTAATAAATGTAAGAGATCCTACATGTGTCTGTAAGTCAAAATAAGCTCTTCTTTCTTCCATACGTTCCCGGTTTAAGTTGCTGTTAAATTCAGCTGCTTTTTTGGCAGCTTTCTTAATGTACTCAGGCACTTTGCTGGCTTCAACTTTCTGAGTATTCTGTTGTTGCATTTGCTGAAATAAAAATATTACAGTTGGAAGTCACATCTAACTTTATAAAACGTCGTTCCCCCAAACCAAGATGGTGGTTACCCAGATACTTACAGAATACTCTTTATAGTGATCTGTAATTCGCTGGCGCTCTTTTTCCTGAAGAATGACAGAATATTCAGCATGTTTGGCTGGATATTCTTTTATCATTAAATCAATTACTTCATCACTGCGCAATGCTGTTAAGCCTATTTCAGACCAAAGAGAAGGTAAAGAAGCTTTTTCAAGGCTAAGTGAACATACCACTTTTCAAAATTTGCTTTTCCTTCAAACTACTCTACATTTAAGAAGTTTTCCAATAGTCAAAGCAAAATAGTTTAATACATTCAAAAATAATAAAAGATAATATTCATAATAAAGTCAAACAATTAAAAAGAAATAGATTACCAAAGTTGCAAAGGCAAATCAATTTTTTAACCAAAACTTTTTTAAGATTCTACATACTAGATATAAACATATATCCCTTTACTAGAAACAACTGCTAAATAATGATGCACACTAACCACTGGCAATCAACATGGGATACTAGATGAGAAAAAGACTTTTTCAATATACTTCAGTTCTTAGTCTTCAAATTCGATATACTAGCAATATTAGAGTCAATTCAAATTTCACCAAAAGCATCAGCACACACACATAAGTCACACAGGCAATTTTTGAAACTCATGGTATCAGATTATACCAACTGCTGAGATGAACTCCCATGGTTTTACATTTAAAAATTGCCTTAATATATTTATGAAGGGAAAATTACAAATAAAGCAGGGAGATAACTATACATAACTAAAAATTGAGCAAAATTTGCCTTTTAAGAGACAAGGACCAATACTTTTAAAAAGTACTGTACAGATTTTGCACACAAAACATACACACACTTTGACACTTCTGTTAAAGTTATTAGAAAATGATATTGTTATAAAACATCATTCTCTTTTGTATTTTAACAATAATCAAAAATGAAGTTAACAGTTTAGCACTTAAATAATTCAATCTATTTATTAATTCTGTAAAATATTTTGGGAAAGAGAATAAATACTCATCCGGTATCGCCTCATTAATGTTCATTACCTAGAGTGCACTGTGTTTCTGTAATGACATTCAGCTCTCTCAGGTACAGTTTCTCCTTATGAGACAAATCTCGTCGCTCTAAATCTCCAAAAAAAAAAAAAGAATAAAAGACTATCAAAAATAGTCTTTTGCATTTGTAAAACTTTTAAAAGCTTAAAAAACTTTAAAAAATGTTTAAAGTTAAAATCTTCATGGATTTAAAAAAGTATTCCGTTACATATTCCAAATATTATTAAAAGACTACACAAAAAGCTTACAAATTAAAAAAATGAAAGTTGAAATAAAACTGAGAACAGTAATCCAATGCCAGAAGGTAAGACAAATAACTATTAAACTATAGCTGATGAAACACAGCCTCTCCAAGTTCAGATACAGCTGATGGAGCTACCTCCATCCCTAAGGCCAAGAAGCAACAGTCAAGAAACAAAACCCTTAGTTCATTCATGTGGCTACAAAATGACTTCTCCCTAAAGTTTTTCCAGGAAATTCATCTTCCTCATTTTGCTTGTAAATCAGTTTACAAGACATAAGAGAGAGATGCTGAATGAATGAAAGCTGCAAATAAAAATCAGCAAGCAGAAGAATATAAAACATGTTATAAATAATCTGTACTCAAATATTCAGAAGTTGACAACCTATCAAAAAGAATTACTATTAGTTAAAAGTTAGATTTAATCTGTTATATAAACTAAGACTTAATACCTGGATATTTCCGTTTAAAGGAGGTCACACCCAAATATTCACTGACTTGTTCTTGAAGCATATAGTATTCTCCTGTTTCATCAGGTGGCCATTTGTACTCTATCAAATTTTCTGCGGGATAGTAGCTAAAGCTAAGGACAGAAATATATATTATGCCTTAAATGTAGCTTTTATAAAATTTTAATCATTTTTGTTTTAAAGGATATTCATTTTTAAACATTTTTGAGAATATATTTTAAGGATTTGGAAAAACTATTTTAATTATTTAAATTCTCAGTCTTCTATGACTTTGTAATACAAAGAAGTTCTTATGATTTCATGTGCATCAATGAAATTACAAAAGAGGTAGAGATTAAAGAAACAACCATCTGGAATACCAAAGCAAAAAAGTACACTGGAGGGCTTCCCTGGTGGCGCAGTGGATAAGAATCCGCCTGCCAATTCAGGGGACACAGGTTCTGATCCCTGGCCTGGGAAGATCTCTTCCCACATGCCGTGGAACAACTAAGCCCATGAGCCACAACTACTGAGCCTGCGCTCTAGAGCCCACGAGCCATAACTACTGAGCCCAAGTGCTGCAACTACTGAAGCCCGCATGCCTAGAGCCCATGCTCTGCAACAAGAGAAGCCACCGCAATGAGAAGCCCGCGCACCGCAACAAAGAGTAGCCCCCACTCACTGCAACTAGAGGAAGCCCACGCACAGCAATAAAGACCCAACGGAGCCAAAAATAAATGAATTTTTTTTAAAAAAAGTACACTGGACATAACATTTTCCACATATCACAAAGAACAGTCTCACAACTGTCAGGAACAAAGGCAACGTTTCTTAGCTTTTGCAAATCGGGGTAGTGATACCAGTTCTGAATTCCTTCTCACGGGCTTAGCACCCATAGCCACTATTTCATGCACCCAAAGGATAAGGTAATCAACTTCTGTTTCCCATCTTCTGTTCAGTGAGTCACAAATAGCAGAGAATGCAGAACTCTAATTTCTCAATAAACTGAACTATAAAGCACATAGACTCCACATACCCAGCGCACTGCAGATCAATCCCCAATCCTGAATAGTAAAGACTACAGATGTCTGGACCTGGACCAATTCAACCTCTAAATTTCATCAGTGGATAATACAGGCAGAATATAACACCATTTTATGCATCTATCCAATTAAAAGTAACAGGCAAAAGAACAGTTTTCTGAAAAGTGGTGCTGGGAATTTGGACAACCAAATGCAAAAGTGTGAGATTGAACCTTTACCTCATATCACACAGAAAAATTAATTAAAAAATGGATCGACGACCTAAATGTAAGAACTAAAACTAGAAAACTCTTGAAGAAAACATAGAGGTAAATCTTCATGATCTCAGATTTAGCAATGGATTCTAGATATGAATGCACTGCTAAATCTGAGCAGTGGATTCATAGCATGAGCAACAAAAGAAAGAGTAAATAATTTGGACTTGAGCAAAATTAAAGATTCTGTGTATCAAGACACTATCAACAGAGTGAAAAGTCAACCCACAGAATGGGAGAAAGTATCTGCGAATCATACGTCTGATAAGAAGGTCTAAACAACAACAAAAAAAAACAATTTAAAAATGGACAGAAAACTTGAACAGACATTTCTCCAAAGATATACAAATGGCCAATAAGCACATGAAAAGACGCTCAATTTGACTGGTCATTATGGAAATTCAAATCAAAATCACAGCAAGATTCCACTTCACACCTTTCAGAATGGCTGTTATCAAAAAAAAAAAAAAAAAAAAAAAGGAATACAACAAGCTGATAAGGATGTGCAGAAGTCAGAAACTTTGTACATTGCTGGTGGGAATATAAAATGGTGCATCCACTGTGGAAAAGTTTGGCAGCTCCTCAAAAAGTTAGACATAGAATTGCCATGTGACCCACCTGTTCCATTCCTAGGTATATACCCAAAGAAGTCTGAACAAATATATTTATACATCAATGTTCAAGGCAGCATTATGCACACCAGCCAAAATGTGGAAACAACCCAGTGTCCATCAACAGATAAAGAGATAAACATAACATAGAGTATAATTATAGCAATGGAGTATAATTCAGCCTTAAAGAGGAAGGAAATTCTAGCACAAGCATGTGCTAGAATCACTCTAGTACAACATGAGTGAACTTTGAAGAAATTATGCTAACCAAATTAAGCCAGACACAAAAAGACAAACACTGTATGATTCCATTTACATGAGGTACCTAGAATAGGCAAATTCATAATGACAGAAAGTAGAATGGTGGCCGCCAGGGGTTGGGGATATGCGAAATGGGAATTTTATTATGTAAAAGTTTTGGAAATGGATGGTGGTGATGGTTACACAACACTGTGAATGTAATTTATGCCACTGAATTATACACTTAAAAATAGTTAAAATGGCGAATTTAAGTGTATTTTACCACAATAAAAAAATTTTTTTTTGAATTGCACTAAGTAGCAAAAAGTAACTTTGCTGTCACGTTGTAAAACACAATAAAAACATTCTATAATCTTTAATAATTGCCTTTGCCATGGCTGGGGGATGGGGAGCAGGGAGCTAACACAGAGAAAAGACACGTACCACAAAAAACATTATCAAGCAATAAAATGACAGTACCCAAGATCCTGACTGGAAGTGTCACAGCTCCTGGAGCTATCTCCTGAGCCCATTCGCCTCCTTTTGGATGGCTGGGTCCCATCATTTGAATTATCTTCATTATCATCCTAAACATTTTAAAGATTCAAAAAATAACAAGATAAATAAATAAGGAAAGATTAATTATGTATCCTCCCAGACTTGCTAAAAGGCTCAACTTAAAGGCTTTCTAAGGAATATACAAATGTTAACTTCCTACTATAATTAACAAGGGACAAGAATTTGGAATGGGCAAGACCTGGGAAAAACTAAAAACTAATCTTCAATACAAATCAAAGTAAGAAAATTTTCAATAAACTTGTAAGTCTAAATCTACTTTTGCTTTCTTACCAAGAGGTTAAAATGCCTCCTGCTTCAGAGAAACACATAAAATCGCTGCAATACTCTGAAATTAAAGCAAATCCTCCTACCCTAGCTAGGATAAAAATGTACGGATCATGTAGTGTTTAACTCAACTTATAGCTGGTTTATTGGACTATTCTAACTGGCTAATTTAGGTACTTATATCCCTGTGAAGAGGGGACACAAAAGGACTAAAAACAGATGATCAATCCTGTTAATTTTTTTTCTTACATTGCAAAAATTTAGCAAAAATATACCCTAATAAGAGTCATCAATCTATATAAAACCACACAATACCTCCCAAAAAGGAGAGGCTTAAAAAAAATTTTAAGGGACATTTTCCACTACGTGACAATATGAAGGGCTGTTAAGTTAGACCGTTTCATTAAGGCAATGAATGATGTTATCAAGTGTCAGGAAATTAATTTAATCGCATATTAGTTAAGACTTAAAAAAAGAGATTAAAAAATAAAATCAAGGTAATGTAGCTTCCTAAGGCAATACAATTTTGTTAAGTACCACGGTTCTAAGAATACAGAGGTAGTATGTTGGTCAAGCATGCCAAAGCTGGACTGCCTGGAATCTTACTGGGCACTGCCCTTCACGGGCTGAGTGGTTATCCTCTGTGATCAGCTCCTTATCTGTAAAACTGGGACCCTAATACTGCTTCCAATACTTGGCTAATGTAGGGATTAAATGAGTTAATACATGGGAAGCCCTTAGAGCAAGGCCTAGTGAACAATTAAGTGCCCAGTAAAAGTTAGTTGATATGATTATAAAGTGTTAAAAGGCTCCACCTGGGCTTCCCTGGTACCGCAGTGGTTGAGAGTCCGCCTGCCGATGCAGGGGACACGGGTTCGTGCCCCGGTCCGGGAGGATCCCACATGCCGCGGAGCGGCTGGGCCCGTGAGCCATGGCCGCTGAGCCTGCGCGTCCGGAGCCTGTGCTCCGCAATGGGAGAGGCCACAGCGGTGAGAGGCCCGGGGACCGCAAAAAAAAAAAAAAAAAAAAAAGAAAAAAAAAAGCTCCACCTGTTAGGAATTTACTCAGATTCTTTAACAAATAGCAAAAAACGGGGAATATTCTCCTTTTCAGTTCTTACAAAATAAGCATTCAATTGAAGAGCTCTATAAAGAAAAGCAACCAGGTAGGAGACGGAGAACAGTCTAAATCCATTCTCCAAAAACTTACACATAACAGTAAGTCTCCCAAGTGAAACATTTCATATTCAATAAGCATTCGAGTATCATTTATATTTTACTTGCTTCTGAGCACTTTAAGGATTTTAGTATCCATTTAAGCACATTTCCCTTGGCTAAAAAATTTAGACACTCAAAAAGAGACAAAAAGTTAAAAATGTGAAGTCCTCAGAAAAGCTGAAACCACAATTTCACAAGTAGAGTTTGAATTTACTATTATAGATTCTAGGTAAATGTGCTATTACATAAGGTGAACATCGGAGAGGTCAAACTGCAATATACCTCCTAATATTATGATGGAATACAATTAAGTTGAAAGAACTTCGCTTGCAACCTCGATATTGACCCAGAAGTCCTAAGCTTTAAGGCTGCCGAAATCTCCGATATCAGCTATCTGCATTTCAGAGTCACAGGCGGCTCCCACCTTGGGATTAAACCCGTTTCTGGGGGTCCCACACTTGCTTCAGACACGCTCCTGCAGCTGGGCCTGGACTCGGGGGTCCCCGCCGCACGCAGGCCAGGCCTCAGGTTCTGCGAGCACAGCTGTGCGGAGACCCACCGGTCGGGGCACCTGAGGGCCTTCGTGCACAGAGGACCGCACAGGAGGGGCTCCTGACAGGTGCAGCCTCGCCAGGGGACCGAAGAACCGTCACTATGCCAACGCTGACCCCGGATCAGCGAAGACACGGGGTTCCGGTTCCCATCAGGTTGCAATTCCAACTTTTCAGTTACAACTGAAATACTGGGGTTGTACGACTCATCGCTCCATTGCAACCTTCTGTCACAAACTAGTAAACTAACTTTGAAAGCAAAATGTTTTAATGCACGACATCCTACCGCTCATGTCGATTCCTCTCCACTCCTCTCGGACTTTAAAACACTAAGTCCGTTTTACTTCCTTAAAACAGTGCAAACTACAAAACGTGAAAACAAAAAAGTCGGCCTGAAAATAACCGAACGGTTATTTGTTCTCAAACCAAGTTCATTAACTGGCTGGCTTGTTTTTCCACTTGTACACATTTCTATTTTTTAGAAAGAGCTCAAATATTTCAGAAAGATACTCCTCAAATGAAGGAGCTTTTAAAAACATACAGTATCCCAGACTAACGTGAAGAAAACTCTCTCCGTTTCTGAGGAAAGTTTTATTTCTACGCGGAGCAGAAAGTCCCCCGGGGGACGTGCTCAGAAGCTCCTTCGGCGCAGAAACCGCCAAAAAGACTTCGGACCGAGGCCGACTCGCCCCCGGACCCGCGCGGGGCTCCGCGACTGTGCCAGGGCCCGGTGAGCCGGACGGGCCAGCCCGACGCC